AAAACAACTTAAACATCAAAAGTATAATAATAATGATTGTTTTTAAATATTTTCTGTTTAGATTGAACAACCCATAAATAATAATCATAAGTAATATTTTCTGATTTATGACTAACACTCTCATAGGTACATGGAATTCAACAAAAACTGTCATCTTGGAACTTGCATTCTAGTGGGGATCCGTATATTATGAACCACTTACGTGGCATACTCTCCTAGTAGTAATATTTGTTTTACTCTCCTAAGACCAGAGTAAAACTCATCACTCCACTGTAGCTCTGTCAGTTATTATTAAAGCTGAGTTAGATTTACAGGAAAAATCATCTGTAGATTTTCCAAAAGATTTTCCAACAGCAAAATGTCAAATAAAGAAAATGGTCCAAGAATACATACAGTCTACAGAATGGGACAGGATATTTACCCAATACCCTTCTGATGAAGGGTTAATATCAAGAATATACGAAGCACTGGTTGAACTCAACAAGAAGAATACATCTAATCCCACCAGAAAATGGGGCAACGAAACGAATAGAAACTTTCTCGAAGAAGAAATACGAATGGCCAAAAGGCACATGAAAAAATGCTCTTCATCACTAATCATCAGGGAGATGAAGATTAAAACAACAATGAGATATCATCTCACAACACGGAGACTGACACACATCCAAAAGAACAAAGCAACCAGTGATGGCATGAATGTGGGGAGAAGGGGACTCTCCTTCACTTCTGTTGGGATTGTCAACTGATTCAGCTTTTTTGAAAACAATATGGGCATTTCTCAAAAAACTAGAAATTGAGCTCCTATTTGATCCAGCAATACCACTTCTACTTCTGGGAATATATCCCAGAGATGCCAAAAATACAGCAGAAATGACATCTGCATTTGTATGTTTACCAGCACTATTTACTTCACTTAATCACTTAACTTCCCGTTAGTCGTCGATTTGCTCGAGCGGGCACCAGTAACGTCTCCATTTGTCCCTGTCGCGTGCTAGTGTAGCCCAATGGCATCTGTTCACTCCGGGAACATGAAGGGCCTCAAACCGATCGTTCATAATCTTGACGAAGAAGTCTGACCATCTGGTAGGTGGGCGGCCACGCGGTCTTTTGACATCCCGTGGAATCCAGTCAGTAACAGCTCTAGTCCAGCGGTCGTCTTTAAATCTCATTACGTGACCAGCCCATCTGATTTTCGACACCTTGGCAAATGAGACAGCGTCCCTGATTCTTGATCGTCGACGGATGTCAGAACTCCGGATTCTTTCTCTCATTTGAGTGAAATGTGATATTCCAAGCATAGCTTTTTCTATTCTTCTTTGGGAGACCTGAATAGTGTTCTCATCTTGTTTGCGTAGGACCCAGGTCTCTGAGGCATATGTTAATGCAGGAAGAACAATGGAATCAAAGAGATGTGCCCGGAGCCGGAGGTTCTTCGTCCTCTTAGCTATTTCTTCGACATTCTTGAAGGCATTCCAAGCTGCTCTCTTCCTCCTGCGCAGCTCGGGTGCCAGGTCATTTGTCATGTTGACTTCTCGACCTAGGTACACATAGCTGTTGCATTCGGAGATGGTCGTTCCGTTGAGAGCGAATGGGGCGTCAGGAACAAGGCTGTTTCTCATAAACATTGTCTTCGTAAGATTCAGCTGTAGTCCTACCTTTCCACACTCACGGTCAAAGTCGGCCAGCATTTGTGCCGCTTGGCTGATGTTTGGTGTTATTAAAACAATGTCATCAGCAAAGCGGAGGTGGTGTAGTTGCCGACCATCTATCTTCACTCCCATTCCTTCCCATTCCAGTCGTCGCGTGATGTTCTCGAGGGTGGCACTGAAGAGTTTCGGTGAAATGGTATCACCCTGTCGCACCCCTCTCTTGACATCAACGATCACTTCTTTGTAGAATGGTGAGATCCTGGTAGTGAATCCGCAATACAGCTCACGGAGGATCCTGATGTATTGGGCTTGAATGCCCTGATTGGCTAGGGCTTCAATGACCGCTTCCGTCTCAACAGAATCAAAGGCCTTCTTTAAATCAATGAACGTTAAACAGAGCGGCATCTTGAACTCCCGAGAAACCTCAATGAGCTTGGTTATTGTGTGGATATAGTCGATGGTGCTGAATCCTTTGCGGAACCCGGCTTGCTCGCATGGTTGTCCTTCATCTAGTGTTCTGCCAATCCTATTTAGGATGACTCGAGTGAACAACTTGTAGATGACAGACAATAGGCAGATTGGGCGATAGTTGCCAATGTCATGGATGTCTCCCTTCTTGAACAGTAGTACGGTCCTGCTGGTTTTCCATTGGGATGGAACCTTGCATTCAGACAGGTAGCGAGTGAAGAGCTGAGCCAGTGTATTGATGAGTACTGACGGCAGGTTCTTCAGGTGTTCAGGTCTGACCTTGTCTGGGCCGGGTGCTGTTTGTTTCTTTACCGACGAAATGGCGTGTCGGATTTTGGAAGGGAGAACATTGGGAACGACATATCCATCCTGTGGATTTTGGTATGTCGGCAAGTGGACATGGCTATCGAAGAGATTTGAGTAGAAGTCATGGATAATCTTCTCCATTGCCGTTCTGGAGGATGTGATGGATCCATCAGGACGTCAGAGGGCAGTCATCTTGGTCTTGTAGTTGGCAAAAGACAGGAGGGCGTTACGAATACTTTTCCCGGCTTCTGCTGCATCTACCAGTACTTCTGCTCTTCTCTCTTTGAGGTCTTCCTTGATCGCATCTCTGCACTGCTTTGCGAGCTTGGACGTTAGCTTGCGGTTGCCTGAGGCATGCGCCAAACCACGCTGGCAAATTAGCTCAAGAGTTTTCGAAGATAGGCGATTTTTTGTGGCTATCTCTCTCTTGGCGTTCCTTGCACATTCATGGAGGTGCTGAACTAGTCGATCGTATTCCTCGTCAATGTTGTCAATAATGGCATCTTCCCATGTTGCCGCAACAGTACCAAAGAGTTCCCAGTTGGTGGTCATTCTGGGAGTTCTCTTTTTGAACTTTGCAGCCCTTTCTCCCCGCTCTGTGAAGTAGAATTTTGCACGAAGGAGACAGTGGTCCAATCCCATTCGAAATTTTGGGACAACAGCAACATCAGTCAGGCAAAACCATCGATTGAATATGATGTGGTCTATTTCGTTGTGGAATCGTCCACCGGGAGACTCCCATGTCCATCGTTTAGATTCTGCCTTCTGGAACTGTGAGTTACCATGAATGGTCTTGGTCGACATGATGAACTCAGACAGTCTCTCACCCTGTTCATTCCATTCTAGGCCATGGGTCCCGATGTGAAGTTCTTCAGCTGATCTTCTCGGTCCTATCTTGGCATTAAAATCACCCACAGTGATCTTGTAGAAGGTGTGGTCTTCTTTATAGAACTTCTCCAGCTCCATGTAGAACTTCTCGATTTTTCTTTCATCATAATGAGATGTTGGTGCGTAGATAACGAAGATAGAAACTGCAGGCAGTGAGCCACATCTATTCAAATGTAAACATTTGATTAGGGTTGTTAGGCATTCGAATGAATCAATGCTCTTGGCCAAGTTTGTGTTGACAAGGACAATGACGCCTCCAACACCTCTTTTATCACATGTTCCGAGGAAAAATTCTTCTCCAGTGTCGAAAACGGCATGGTGAGATTTGTGCCTTCTTGTCTCGGTCAGACCAATGATGTTGTACTTGATCATTCACGCTTGTACCATCAGGTCCTCGATGGATGCATCTGATGCTAGCGTACGTGCATTGAAAGTACAAATGATCATTTTTGTCTTCCTTCGTTGTGGCAGCCTAGGTCGGCCTTGAGATTTTGTCGGCCTCTCCTTTCTCATCCTTCTCAGTGCTGCCATGTCGGTGAAGCCTTCAGGGTCAGGTGAATGAGACCAGTTGTAGTTACTGGTTTTGGCATATTGAATACACAACTATTTACAATAGCCAGAATCTGGAAAAAAAACCAGTTGGCCAAGAACAGATGACTGGTTAAAGAAACTTTGGTACATCTACACAATGAAATACTATGCAGCTGTTAGAAAAGATGAAATAATGAAATTTGCACATAAGTGGATCAACATGAAGAGTATCATGCTAAGTGAAATGAGTCAGAGAGAGAGAAGGACAGACATAGAAGGACTGCACTCATTTGTGGAATAAAGTAACCGAATGAGAGACTAACACCCAAGGAGAGTAGAGATAAAGGCCAGGAGGATTGCTCCACAGCTTGGAAACTAGCCTCACAAGCTGGGGGAAAAGACATCTGGGATAGAGAAAGGACCACTAAGTGAATTATGCTTGGAGGCATCGGATGGGAGATGATTGCTGAAAGTAAACTATTCACCAAACGTGATGGCCACTTACTACCTATATTGCAAACCATAGCACTCAAAATGAGAGAGAGAGAGTAAAAGGGAATGTATCTGCCACAGAGGCGGGGGGGGGGGGGGCAGGGGGATGGGATGAGGGTGATGGGAGGGATACTGGGAATATTGGTGGTGGAGAATGGGCACTCATGGAGGGATGGGTACTCGATATTATATGACTGAAACATAATCACAAAAATTTTTAAGTCTGTAACTGTATCTCATGGTGATTCATTAAAAAATAAAAAAGAAAATGGTCCAATCATGCAGAATAGGTATCAAAAACAGACAGAAATTGAATTTTTCATTACCCCCCTACCCACCCCACCACAACCACACACACAGTGTTGCAGATTCACCAATAGCTATAGTATTTCAAAGTAAACTTATGTATGCTACATGAATAAATGCAGCCTCACACCTGTCAAATGAGGACCAGAGTTAAATGACTCAAGAACCCCAGTATCAAGTTTACTTTTTGTTTGGTGTTTGGGTGACCACACACAGCAATTTTCAAGGGTTACTCCTGGATTTGCACTCAGGAATTACTCCTAGCAGTGTTCTGAGGTCCATATGGGATGCCAGGGATGGAACTTGGGTATGGCTCCAGCCAGTGCCATGTTTAAAGTGTGAGGAAAACAGGTTTATTTTTAGGGGAGAGAGTGACCGCTGTCCCCCACTAGCACAAAATATGCAGTCGAGTCCCCACATTTGGGTAAATCACAGGGATCAGCACATTTGGAGTGTAATGGATATGACTTGTCCTGGGAAGACTGCTTTCATGATTACGGTATCTCCCCTGCCAGGTAAGTATGAAGAAAACAATTTTTTTAACTAATCTATCCCTATAAAATGTGCAACCATCCTATTTCCAGTTGAGGAAAATGCCAATGTGAGCAGATCTGACTTTTCAAGAGAAGTTGAAATACAAATGTTGACATAAAATTAAGACACTGACCCAAAGAAGTCATTCTATGGCAGTGATTCATCCCAGGAGAATTCAGTTTGCAATCTCTGCAGAAATTTGGGAGATTCCACATTTTCAAAGCAGTGGCGTAAAGCATCTTTAATCCTTTTTTTGTTTTCATACTGAAATATGTTTTTGTAATTGAGACAAGACTAATGATAGAGATTTCTAATTTGTGTGTGTTTGTTGTTTTAATCTAAAGCCACAACTGTAATCCAACATCTTTAGAAGGCAAAGCTTAATGGTAGCACCTGCAATTGATGGAGAAGCCACTGTAAGTCATGGCAGATAAGAAGAAACAGGGCATGTTCACGCTAACGTCTTCTAGCATACTCTGTCCTAGCATTAGGACTAGGGGAGACGGTGACTTGTTTGCAGTCACAGATTTTGTATTCGCCCTTGACATGGCTCAGTCAGAAAGCACATCTGTGAAGTGTTTGCCAGCATGTCAAGAGTAACAGGACTCTTGAAGCCATTTCAAACGTCATGCCAATCCTTGTGCATAACATCTTTGAAAAGATTGCTGCTTTAGAGATCTTAATATTTCAAAAAAATGAAATGCAATACTTTGAACCATTTAGAAGTGGAGTTCTTTTACACAAAGTAAAGTTGAACTTTTTAAACTTCTTTTTTTTTTTATCAAACAAGCCTCTTTTTGGTAGTGGGCAAATAAATTAGCATGTGGGTCCTAAGTGCTCTTAAAATCGTTTTTCTATAGTTCTGTCCTCTGTTTATAATTCTTGAATAAAACTAAAAGTAAAGAAAGCCTTCCTCTAAAGGTTTATGAGCATTTTTCCATGAAGCAGAAGTAAAACAGAAGATCAAAGAGACCTAACAAAAATGCTTCAAACTTGGGATAGGGTGAGCTGAAGGCCAGAGAAAGAAGTGAACTTCTCCAGATAGTTAAGGAGATATTTCTATTTAAAAATGAAACAAGACAAAACCATGATAGGTTGAGTGTATCAAATTGACAGTTCTAAACAATGTTAAAAGTATCAGTCTTTGATATTTTACCCATAGCCTCAAAGACATTTTAAAAGAGTTTAAACAACTGTTTTATCAAGTGACAAATATGAACAAAAGCAGGTGAATATCCTACTCATTACTTGGATAGTCAATATCCTTTGGCTGCTCTGAGTCTTTCTGAAGAAAGTGTAGATTTTCCCAGTTTAAGCATGATTTTTTTAATCTTTTTTTGGGGGGGATTAATGTACAGACTTGAATTGTCTCAGTCAATATAGTGCATTCTGTAAATTTCAAAAATTGTTTAGTTGATTCTTTATCTTTGGTATGCTACCAATGTAAATCCACACTAAGAAATACTTTAAAATGAAAATTTTAAATTAAAAAATGGAATTAAATATATTTAAAGGAAAGGCATGAATCCATTCAGCCATGGGTAAGATACTCAATAAGTCTGCTTCTAATCATTGGTTAGTATTTAAATATGTAGTCACTAGTCTATTAATTTTTTCTATTTAATGGCACTTCTTCTAAATTTAATGACAGTTATTTTAAATAAATGCCCACATATTATTAACAACAATTTAACAAGATTTTTAAACCATGAAACATGAGTAAGAATCTATCAAATGTCAATAAATCAATTATTATTTAATGTAGATGTCTGGATTGTTACATCGAAACATACACAGTAAGAGTACTTTGAAAAACATTTCAATGAGAAATAATTTGCTGGTGTGGAGAAGGAAAGGTTTGTGGGAGGTTGCTTCATCTGCAAACTGCTAGTACTATTTCAGCACAAAATTAAGGATATATAATTTTAAAATAGATTTATTTTGTATAAAAATATGCATTGGGTGAAGTGCATTAAATTTTCTTGATTGGGAGTTGATTTTAACTAGGATACCATTTTAAGTCAAGTGGTTTTAATTTTTCTGCTGCCAATTAAATATGTGCTAAATATATTACATACTATTTTATTCTGGGGATTCACAACCACGTTTTAACAAAACATTTCTTTATATTGAACATAAATTTTTTTAAAAAAACACTTTTTTCTAGTTGTGGTGCCTGCCAAGTGACTATCCCTCAAACAAAATAAAGGATTTCATCCAAATGATTCTGTTTGTGCCTGCTGGCACACTTGCTTCCAGCCAGATGGACTCGGCTGCCATCCCCACTGGCGAGTGTGAATGGCCCAGGCCATTCTCGCATGGCCCTGCGTGCCCTTTTGGTGATCCTCTCCCACATCATGGGGTATTTACTGGGATCAGAAGTGAGACTGGCAAGTTCATGTGACATAAGAATCCCAACCTATAAAGCACATCAGTAGACACTTTGTAGCATGTGCCGTTTATTAGGATTTCCATTAAAAGTATTATGTTTCCATACTTTACAACCATAAAAGAGTAAATAATTTCAAAGGATTGCTTGATAGGAGACTTCTGTTTTAAATGGAACTTGGAAATAACTGGGAAATCACTGGAATAAATGTACTTAATAGACCCAATGCTGTGAAGTTCTTTTCAACTGTTTTCTTAAGCACATAAAAAGATATACCATTTCCTCCAACATTTTTTGAAATAGGTTTTGGTTTGGGGTCTTTCTCTGTAACATTTGACTTATAAATACTTCTTACAATGCTCCCATTGTCCTAATTCTTTCTTCCTGCTCTGAGGCTGAGTTCTTAACACCAAGAGATTCTGCCCCACACCCTCTTACTGCTCCGACCTACAAAACAAGCAAGAACCTAAAACCAGAAAGTAACATTACATGCCACTCAAGAAAATCTGTTGCACCACTTGATAAGTTGGAAAATGTATACTAAATGCCCCTATTGAGCTACTTCCCTTTTAACAGGAAACAAATTCCATTCAGGGCAATGAGCAAATATTTCACGAATCTGGGCTGTATGTGAAGCCAACACAGACTTTATTGCATGGAAAGGACTAGACTGTATGCCATGAAAAAAGATTAAACTTCATAAGAAAATTGTTTTAAAATAATATTGCTAATATAAAACATCGTGAGAAAAGTTAATGTCTATAAAATATAATGTTGTAATCCAATTGGAATCATGTGGATTGGCTATCTTTATAATCCTATTACCTGGGAAATGTCATTATTTTATCTGTGTAGAAACATTAGAACACTTTCTTTTCCCAGGATAATTAAAGAATAAAGTGAAACATTGCTGATCACTAATAGCTTTACCCATCAAAGATGAGCTAAGCAGGTAAAACTAAAGGGGAAAACATTTTATTTACTAAATGTATTCATTTGAGATCTCAAAAAAAATGGTTTAACTTTTTAAGATAAAGAACTTAAGCTGTTACGAGCTGGAGCAATAGCATAGCGGGTAGGGCATTTGCCTTGCACGCAGCCAACCAGGGTTCAATTCCCAGCATCCCATATGGTCCCCCGAGCATCGCCAGGAGTAATTCCTGAGTGCAGAGCCAGGAGTAACCCCTGTGCATCGCCGGATGTGACCCAAAAAGCAAAAAAAAAAAAAAAAGAGAGAGAGAGAGAGAGTGAGCGAGAACTTAATCTATTAATAATAACCCTTAAAACCAAGAAGAGTATGCATAATATTTTCAAATGGGCTCTTTAATTTAAAAAAAAAGTGGGGGGGGGGGAGCACTTGTAATTGAACATAGCAACTACCACACTTGCATATCAGGCTCCAAGCTGAATTCTTAGCCAATAGCGATAGCACAGTGGTAGGGTGTTTGCCTTGCACATGGCTGGCCCGGACCACCAGGGTTTGATTCCTTTGCCCCTATCAGAGAGCCCAGCAAGCTACTGAGAGTATCTCACCTGCAAGGCAAAGCCTGGCAAGCTCCCCGTAATCTATTTGATATGCCAAACACAGTAACAATAAGTCTCACAATGGAGATGTAACTGGGCCCGCTCGAGCAAATTGATGAACAACAGGGGAGACAGTGCTACAGTGCTACTCTAACATTTAATTCAAACAACCCCTCATCATATTTAGTTTATAAATTAGAAAAATTGAGATGCTGAAAATCTCAGAAACTGAGAAAACTTGCTCATGCTCAGAGGTAGCCTTGTAGGGAAGATTTTAATAGGAGTTTGGTTAACTCTGAAGTGTATGTCCTTATTTTCCATGCACTGTATCACTCCTACTTCAGGGCTTGATAAAGCCAACAAGTAAAGGAATGTTGTTTCTTAGGAGATAAAAATTCTGAGAAGTTCATTGTTGCCTAATAATTAACCCAATGGCTATGTATTGAACCCAAGCTTCTCTTTTGTCAAGGAAGAGATAGATAACAAGCAGGAAGGGGTAACTGGAAAATCGTAGAGTCTCTTGAGTCTTGACACAAGATTTAATTTCTGAACTTCATGATTTGGGAGATGAATAAAAGCTCCAAGCCTCTCTCCAAAGCTGAATCAGGCTTTCATATCTTGGAGGTATACAGACAATGGCTAATCTGTAGATGGATGCAAGAAAAGAGAATAGATTGAAGGGAAAGACAATCCAAGGCACATATTAAGGGGATCATCATTTTACCCTGTCCACCCAAGTCAGGCAGCTTCACTGAATGAGGATCCCATTGGGGAGGGCCTGAGAGAAGAAATAGGAGAAGTGGAATCGGGGACAATTAATCACCTTGCTGGCTCTGGAGGTGCAGTTCAGAAACCAGAGCGAAAAACAGGGCTCGCTTCCACAAAGCACTCAATCTCCTGAAAGAAACAGCATAAATACAGTCATATTTGCCAATGAAGGTTTCTAAATGTTTAAACTAGTCAGTAACACCACACAGATGGAGAAACTAATGCTTGCGGAAGTTAATGATTTGTACCCCAGTCACTCAGCGAGTTGGAGATAGAGCAGATGTGAACCTCCAATCTCTTGACTTCCA